TTTTTTACAATAACTTACTGTATGTATTAGGGACCTGCCCAACACAATCTCCTGGGTAAAGTTTACTAACAAGTAGATGCTGAAAACGGAGCAACAGGTCCAGAGAAGCAGATCTCTCTTTGCTGTAATGTTCATGGTCCATGCAGGAAGAAATGCGACGAGCAACATCTTTTAGTTTGGCTATCGTCTGTGAAGCGATGTTCCTAATTGGTATAAAAGTATTGTAAAGTACTTAAAAGGAGCTGATAGTGAAGACAGTCCACAGAAACACGGGTTAAGCTTTTGCTAGAATTTCACACAAATATACGAGAAACCTATGCAAAGTTTCTTTGTAGGATGTTCCCTTGTTTGCACACGTTCCGTTCTAAATAAATTTGTGCTGATTCCCGTACTTTGTAAGGACAGGCTTTTGAACGTTTGTCCTGTATTTGTTACACAGACTTTCAGAGTACAGGAAGAAGTAACAAAATCCATAAAAGCAAGGCAGTAAGTCTTTCTAAAAATCAGGTATAGAACTTTGCTCCTTAGCAAAAATAAAATAGCAAAACTATAGACAAGCTAGGAGAATGTTCAATATTTTGAATTCCAAGGAGCTAAAATGCTAGCAAGAGACTATTTATTTGCTAACCAAAATTAGCCATCCTTTAGTTGACTAGTTCATAAAACATATAAACAGATCTTCTGTACGTAAAAGAAAAATTCAAAGCAATTACCTTAGTAACTGCTGAATTAACTGAACTAATGGTAAACTTTGTTTTCCTGCAGATTCATAGATTCCAGTATTAATAAGGTCTTTGTCCAATGGAGTCCTGCTCCTATGAAGCGTTGATGCATTTGCTTCTTGTTCATCAATTTCTTTTTCCTTCTGTGCTTCTTTTTTTGCTTCAATATCCTAAAAAAGTAAATCAAGTTAAAGAAAACGCGCAAACTGCCACTGTGATTATGAAACATTTTACTAACAAGTATTCATGATAACAAGATCAAGTTACTTTTACCTATGCCAGAGATGAAACAATTCCTACCAGACAAATGTGTATTGTATATTCCGTAACAACCACATGGGCACACTTTTTTTAAACAATTATAATATAAAAAGAAAGGTGGGGGACAGTGCAGGTAAACAAGAGTAGACAAACTCCAAATTCAATTTCCACCAAACCAAGTTAACAATTGATTCCTGTTCTATGTACGTTTAAACATGCCAGTAGCTGCTGCACAGTTCACAACTGAAGGCATGTTTACTCCGCATTTATAGATGTAACAAATCCGGTCCACTGCAGAAGAACCTGGGTTAGATTTGCTACTGAGCTACAGTCATACAGAACTCTATGGAAACAAGTTCACCCAGGTTTTAAACAATGTAAATTAACCTGTGCAGTGCTGTATGCTGCCACCTAGATCACTTTCAGCATATATCTGAAATTGGCTCAGGTATCTCTGACCTACGCTATAATGTAAATGTGCCCTAGGAGACTTGGTTAAGAAACGAGAGGTTCTGCATGTCTTCAAATAGAACAGAAAATGCTAATGCTAGACTATGCATTAAAGCAAAACTTAACACATGCATTTCCTCTGCATCATAAACTTCCCCATTTACCAACAGTGGAGAGAAACCAAGAAGAAAATACACTAGGAAGAATTAAACAAACGAAGATGCAAGGAAAAAGCACATTTTTGTTTTCGCAGCCATACATAAATATGGCAATTTAAAGCAGTCTGTGCAGAGCATGTCCCACCTCTGAGAGGCTAATGGAGAAAACAGTATATACAGAATGTTTCTTTCATCCTTTGTATAACTAGTCAGCATCTGTTAAACATTCAAAACAGTCTGAAACGGAAACTATGGAAATTTGGGATGCTGCAAAGAATTCATTCATCTTGAATTCATAATAAGGCTGAAATTTATGCTGCAGAGATATGGATGACATCAAGGAACTGAAGAACTCAAGAATCCCACAAAAAGGTACAAAGTGCTTTGTAAAATTATGATCCTATTACAGAGCTTTATGAAAAAGTTTGTTACCGTTGTTAAAAATCAACACTGTAGGCAACGAAAAGAAACACTCCACTAAAAAGGAGAATATGATTCATGCTTCCATACAAACACTGGCTCAAGTTTCAGGTCTAAAGAGGGTAACATCAATCCACAAACTTCAGAAAACACTTGACACACCTTCTTAGTCTGTTTATACAGAACTGCAAAGCTGCTAAAACATACCTGAATTTCTGCAGTAATAGCAGCATTTAGTGCAGACTCTAAGCCTCCATCAGCCATCAAGCTGCCCACCAAGAGGTCAATCATAAATCTACGGCCTGGACTTACATTCATTTCATTTCCTGAAACTAGGAATGGAAGAAGCTGTTAATGAACTAGAAATGCAAGCACAAAACAAATAGGTTTAAATCTTAGGACCAACCTGCACTGGGTAAGAGCGCTGAGAGCGCCCTAGCCCGCTCTTCTGCTGTTGGCAGTAACACAGACCATCCACTCTGCAGCACTGCTTGAGCAGCCGATTGCACGGTATTAAGGACACCAGCATTGCTTGCTAATGTTACCACTGTCTGCTTCAGGCTATTGAGCAGTATACTGCCTAAACCTAAGCCAAGGCATTCCGGATCCACCTGATGACTAATGGCAGCATGAAGCTGAAAAAAAGAAAGGAGGGAAAAAAAAAAAAGGCAAATTTTAATTAAGAAGAGATGTGAACTTTAAAAAAAAAAAAAAGTCAATCCTGGAGCAACTAAGTGCACTGACCAAGATACACACTTTCAACTGTAAATTTGAAAAGTTAAAGGGAAATGCTGGCTTGCCCAAACACGTACTGAATTTAACTACTCAAAGATTATGAACTATATTTAACTATACCCCCTAAAACTCTGAACTGTAACAACCTAAAGAATAACCTCAACTGTTTCTACTTCACTACAGTATGCAAGGAAAAGTAGCACATCTTCAGTGACTGTCAAATACTTTCTAAAGAGGACATTCACTCTTAAAAACACTATTTAAAATTCTTAGAAATGCATAAAACCTCTGAGTGTATGGGCTTATTGAGTGAGTATACAAGGTTTAATCCATTTATATTTTATAGTTCACTTTTAATAAGATCCAAAAGCTGTCAAGAAGAAAAAAACCAACCACTAGCTGCCAAATTTCAAAGAGTAGAAAGTGATATTGTACTTAATTCACTTTTTAAAAATCAGTAAAAATGTTTTAAAGCACATTGAGTCCACTATTTTCATCCAAGCAATTTACTGAAACATTTAGTTCAACGACTGCTCGATGCGTAAGAAATTGAAGGTACCTGAAGCCTTAGAAGGTTTAATGTTGCCACAGCCATACACTCCTTTTCCTGAGGAGGGGGCCAGTCAGAGGAGCCATCCATTCCCTCTGTCACTTGTCTTAGTAAAAGATCTAGCTGCTCAAATGTCATGGGGCAAACATCCACCACAAAAGGCACCCGCAAGCCTATTGACCATTCTGAACACGATGACCAAGCAAAACTCTGTAAATGGAAACAATATACAGAGTTCAACAGTTATTTCCCAAATATGAGATGACACTGATTAGAGACAGGAGTGTAAAGCTAACATCTGCCTTCGAACAGTAATAGAAGATGCAGAAATAATATCAGGACATCTGTTGAAGAGAACCCTCCACTTGCATCCTTGTAAACATAAAACCCTACCAATCCCAGAAAAGAACTCTCTTATCACATTTTCCAAAGTGCTGTTATGCCAGTCCAGATACCTCACTATCTTTGCTGCAGGAAACATTCTGCTTGACAACTCTTCAATTGCTGTACCAGACAAAAAACAAAACAGGTAAATAGCTACTTCTCAGAATACCCAACAGAGGGAAAGCTAGTCATCCCTTTTTGGCAGAGGAATTGCACAAGGTTTGTTTTTTCCAAGCCTTCGTTTATTCAGAATAAGAAATAAGAACAAGAAAAGTCACGCAAGCACAGAAAGAGGGACTGGGATCAGCGTACAGAACCAGTCTTGGTGAGAGACTACGACAAATCTCAATTAACAATTCAAAAATAAAACTTACCTGAGCAGGCCCACAAGCAATTCCAACGATATGCTTCGTGTCTAATCCTGGGAGAGCTGTGGGCTCTGGTTTGGTGATCCGCAAAGTATCAAAATGTTGACACTGATCATTGCTTCCCCAGCTATGTACTTCACTATCTTCAGTCAGTGCTAAACAATGGGTAGATCCAGCTGCTACATCTATCACTTTTTTTCCTGATAGGAAAGTCAAATATTGAAAATATAACTTCAAGATTACAATCATTAACAGAAAAATATCAGAGGTAAGGAAAACTGTGCTAATTACAACCATACTTAACTATGAACACATTATGCATGTCAGGAGTCTCACCTTTGCCTTAGTAGTGGATTGGAAGAGTACAGCAAAAGAAAAACCAAGGAAATATTTAAAGATTCTTAAGAGACAGCTTAAGTACAAAAGCTTGCAAGTTTAAAAAAAAAAAATCTTCTATTTTGTACCCCTTCTATTTGGATACTTTCTCAGGAAAGGTTTATTAAAAGATCTCCCCATCTATGAACGGAGACTGTAAAGTTATATTGTAGTCATTAGTTCAGAAGTTACTTTCAATTAGATCATTCATCATATACGAACAACAATTTTAGGAAAGACAGAGCATTAAGAGGTTTCTCCTCATCTTCCCCTACAAAACCTCAGGTTTCTCACAAATGCAAGAAACAATCTTCACTCCATTACAAACTAGTCAAAAGTACTGGCACGAACACAACTTTAACACATTACTCGTTGCCTGTGATTTTCATTTATTCCATTCACATGCCTTAATCTAAGCATATATATAATATATATATTTATTTGCATGACAATGCAAAAATACACGTTTTAAATAAGCATGTCTGTGAACCTAACAAAAGAAAAGCAGTAAGAATAAAGAGAACACAAGACAAGCAGCATTTAAAGTAATCGTAACATAGTGGCTCTAAGTCTGCTAGAATTCTAAAGGTATAAATGCAGAAATTATGGCAAATGTGCACTATTACCTTTTTCAATGCAACCAGCATAAAATATGACAGAGTACATGGTACTGCCATTCTTAAAGTTGAGATCACTAGTGTCCGGTAAAAGGTTCCAACAACAGCAAAAAGAACTTCACAATATTTCCAGCTCTGATAATTACCTTTCAAGCCTTCCAGCAGTTTGGGATATCGAACATGCTCTTCCGTTCCATGCCCAAGTCTCTGATTGTCACCTTTTCCCCAGGTGTAGACCTGGCCATCTTTGGTTAGAGCAATAGAAAACTGACTCCCGCAGCGTACTTTCACAATGTCCAGATCTTGAAGTTTTTCTATCAACTTGGGAGTCTTGCAACCATCACTGCCTCCCCTTCCCAGTTTTCCATAATCTCCATCACCCCAAGACCACACTTGGCCTTTAAATCAAGAGAAAGAAAACAAAAAAATTGCATTGCTTTTTCATGTAAGGAAGTTATCTGTTTTGACAAGCAAGTTCATAAAAATCTGAGATTCTATAATAAGCACCATTTCCAAATTGTAATTTAAGAATAGCAGTTATGAATTAATTTCTAATTGGTCATGAAAATAAGAAGAAAAAGATTTTGAAAGGTTTTCATGTTGATAAAACTAAACATAAAAAGCATAACACATAACATGCACTGAAAATTCATCAGTGTACAGAAAGTCCTTCTTAAAAACATATGAAGTATAGGATTTACTGCAAATCAAGCCTGTAGTCTGCCTTCTTTTATTATAAGGCGTTATTTATAAGAACTTGCAAAATCTTTTTCCACAACAAATGGCCAAATTGTCTGCAAAACCTGCTTTCTTAATTTTCAGTTGTCATTCAACCATTTCACCAAATGAAATTAAAAGTGCCATTGTCTATCGTGTTCTTTTGAAACACACTACTAAATCTAAGCCCTGATGTAGGAACTTAGAAATAGTCAAGTCATTCTGCATCAAATAAAACTACGGCTCAAGAATGGCAAACCCATGCATGTCCAAAAAGAAGGTCTTGTTTTACACTCTGATGCTTTTATGTTCCCTACTTGCATAAGCTAGTCTCTAAGGTACTCTGATTAAGCAATGGAAGCATGCAAGGAGACCAAGAGAAGGAAAAAAAAAAAAATTAAAATCTGGGTGTCCATTTCCTGGATGAACAAATCTTTCAGCACTGCACATCACCATAAGCAGCTACATTTTAAAAGAACAACTAGTTTCCAAGAGCTATAGTCTTTCTAAGGGATGACTTTGTGGCTTAACCTCACACAGTGAAATTCAGGTTTTGAATCTGTCTCAGCCTAGGCACCTCTGGGAAGCAGGATTCCAATACAGCCTCTCTTTGGCACTTCCCATGGGTTAACACAGACAACCCTCCTACTCAAAATTCTGGCTGTTGTGACGACATGAGTTATCTGCACTTATGTAATAAAGCATAAAATTTAGACATGTATGTACATATATGTAATATTTTGTGTGTATATTATACATTTATATGGGTATTTTAAATATATATAACAGAAATGGAAATATATATTTGCAATGAATATATTGCATATCTATGCATGGAAATATATCTGCATATATTATATGCAAAATGTATAAATGCATATATGTATTTCCCCAAAAGAAATTTCAGCTTCAAATTCTTACAGAATTCAAGCCACTAGAAATTACCATAATATCTGCAGTATAAATATCTTCAGAATGAAAGGAATAAAAGGTAAGCTTACTTAAAGTGTTAAGTTATATTTTGCTACTAACCATTTTCAGTAACTGCAAGAGTCTGAGCATCTCCACTCCCACAGGACACATCAATAACTTTGAGTCCTTTTAGGCCCGTAACCAGCATTGGGATGGTCTGATCTTCACTGGAACCTTCAAAACAAAGTAGTTCTGTGAGAAGCAAAACCAAGAAGGCCTGGTAGGTTCTTTTGTTTGGGTTTTTTTGTTTGCTTTTGGGTGTTTTGTTGTGTGGGGGTGGGGAGTGTTGGTTTGGTTTTGTTTTCAGATTTGAGCATCTAAGCTCCCATGTGGTTTGTTAGGTATCTAATACGGATTTAACCCATGAGATAGTCTTTGCTTGACAAAGAAGGGAACAGAGAGCAGTGTAGATTTTTTTCTCCATCCAACTGCTTATTTTCATAGAACTCATAGAAATTAAGTGGTTTTGAGACAATCCCTCCCATAATCATTTCAATTCATGCAAAACCATGTATGTTTTTCAAATCAGCTTTAGGTAAGTTGGATAAAATATCATTTGAGACAGGTACTAAACAATTCTTCGACAAACAACTTACTCAAAGATATGAAGTAACATACCATGACCAAGCCTGCCATAGTTTCCTCGTCCCCATGTATATAGCTCTCCTTCAGCAGTAATGGCTGCACTATAGGTGCTTCCACATGCAATATGAACAACATGTTTCCCAGCTTGCTTTCCAGATAAAGCAGATATCATCTTCGGTTCCTCCAGAGGGCTATTTAAAGAGAAGGTGACATATTTCACAACAGGTGATCTGATGAGTAGATAATAAAAGTGTCACATACTTGTTAGAAAACAATTGCTGCAATTCTACCTGAAAACCTTATTACTAGTCTGAAGTATCAAGATATAAATAGAGCTATAAGCCAAAAATTAAGTTCAGATTGTTCAACAACATATAAACCACTGAAGGAATGTCTGACAACTATGATTTCTATTTCCAATTAAAATAATGCAGTGTTTTTAAAAAATACTTGTCTACTATAAAAAAATATTATCTTTAATTACTATATCTGAACAATTAATTTCAGGACACTGCTAACCTTTGTGTAATAGCTCCCTTGCTTTATAGGGAATTCAGCACTGGGGGAAGACACTTAAAACCTCTGAAATACTGATGTACACCCCCTACAGAACACCCCTGTAGAAGACTGCTCCTACACAAAAGCAGGGCAGTAATGTTATTGTTTAACACAGGGGAAAAAAAAGGAATGGTATAGGTAACATGACTGCACAGGAAATGATGACCCCACTCTGACATCTGAGTCAATGTTTCTAGAGAAAATGCATTGTGGATTCATAAAACCATGAATAAAAGGCTTATTAACAGTGTAACCACTACTACACCCTCTATCTACAAGTATTTCAGAAAGCAGCATTAATACAGAACTGGGAATATTACAGGCAGAGAAAACATGCAGGGAGAATGCAATTTCTGTTCAATAACAGACGAATGTCAAATGCTGAATGAGCTTGTACACACAACTAAATAGTTTTTACTATGAATTCAGAATACTGACAAATAAATGTTATGATTATTTTTATTACATACACTGTATCCCCATGGCCTAGTCTTCCACCATCTCCACAACCCCAAGAGAAAACTTCACCATTTGCTGACAAAGCAAGATAGTGATGCCCATCTGAATGCGCCGCTATCTTCACAATATTTCTGGAAGCTAGACTCTGCACCAGCTGTGGTCCCTGTGAACCAAACAAAAACAATACACTTATAAAAACTGTTTATATTTTCCATCACTTGCCTATATACAGAATAACTAGGTACAGTTTTCCTAAGGCTTCATCAAAACTGTACACTCAAATTAATGAAGTGAAGGTATTAAAAAAAAAAAAAAAAGGTCAAATCTACTATTAGAGTCTGACAAAAACAGTGCTCTGAGGTTATTTTGTTCCCATCCTTATAAGGTCTTCAGTATCTAGGAAAATTGTGTTTATCTTAATATGACAGGCAATTTTACTGACAAATGTTTCTGTTACAGTACAGCTTTGTTTGAGGAACTACAGAGTTTGGGCACAGTGTTACATCACTGAAGTAAAATCCGTTTCGTATCTGCCAATTTCTACAGTTGTTACCAAGTCCAGCATACCAATGAAAGCAATTACCGTTGTGTTCATAACCTCTAGCCTGATAGAAATCACAGAAGCCAGATGCATTTAATCAATACAAGAGATCAAAACCACTATTTCCGAAAGTTCAAGAACATCCACATAGAAGTTCACAAAAATCAGCATGCCTCCATCTACTCTTCCAAGATACTGTAAATAGTTAAAGGAGCAGACTTATGCTATGAAGTAATACAGAAGAGAACACATTTTTAGAAACGTAAAAAACCTCTCACCAGAGTATCGCTGTTGTACGCTTGTGTATAAACTCGTCCGTTCCTAGATAGTATTAGAAAACGTTTCTCTGCACAGGCAACCTGCACAACGCCAAGATTGGCAAGTCCTTCACATTGAATTGGGCCACTCACATTAGCATAATATTTCCAACCTATTAAACCCCAAGCAATGACCTCTTGCAGAGATCCCTAGAAAATAAGAAATTCTGTTAAGTACTAATTTTGAAATATGCAACTTAATGAAATGCATAGAGCAGATTATTTTTTATATCTTCTAATAGGTAAGCTTTATCGACTACTGAGGGTAATAACTGTCACAGATTTGAGTATATTTGACATATAAAAATTTAAAAAATAAAGACTTGCATGCATCATATTCAGTTTAGTCTGGTACTGAATAAGCTATAAATATCCACAACAAGCATTCAGAGATTTTTCAGGTTGGGAAGTTTAACATTTACCTTTTTTTTTTTTTTTAAATACGT